CCGCAGGAGCACAGCCCAGGCGGTGACGGGCTGCACCCCACGAGGCGGGCACAACCACTGCACGGTGCCGCGCCCGCTGCTCCAGCTGTACCGGGAGATGGAGATCTGGGTGTCCGTCACCAACGCCCTGGGCACGGCCGAGTCGGAGCATCTCTGCATCGACCCCATGGACGTCGGTGAGTGACAGCACAGGGGCCAGGGAAGCTCGTCAGCGGTGACAGGGGTATTAAAGTGCCATTAAAGCAGGTCGGGGTTTAGGTCACGTCCTCCGGGCGGGTTCCGTGATGGATGTCCTGCCGGGATGAATCGGTGCCAGCGCCGCGTTACACGAGCAGCGCGTGCGGCGGGTTATGAGCTGCCGCTTGACCTGCTGCACTCCACAGCTCCTCCAGCAATTGATTACCCATTTATTCCGGAGGTCTATTAATAATGGATCCAGTGCCTATAAACTATTTATAAAAGGAGCCTTTCCAGATGGAGCAGCTTATCCTCCTTGCTCTGGGCCCAGGGAGGGACTGCCCAGGAACCAGCTGAGCCCTCCCATGGCTGTGCCACACTCTCACCTGTGGGCAGACCCAAATGTGGGGTCTTCCAGACACCAAGCCCCACAAAATCTGTTTTTCCTTCATAGGCATTGATGCAGAGCAGTGCCAGTGCTGCATTCCTGAGCATTGCCCTGTCTCAGGCAGGGACATGCACCAGCTCCTGTCCCCTGCCACAAGCTGTTTTCCTAAATGGTTTGGGGTGCTTTCTTGCCATTTCTTGCTGCAGAACCCCAGCTGCAGGTCCTGGCATTAACAAGAGACGCATGTGAGGCCATGGCCCCGGGCTCTGCCCACCACGGCATCTCTCCAGCTCTCTCCTGCTCTTCCTCCAGCCAAGCTGGACCCCCCAACCCTGAGGAACATCCAGTCCATCCCCTTCCAGACCGACTGCGTTGCCCTGGCCTGGGAGGTGGCGCGGGGCACGGAGCACATGGAGCTGCAGTGTGAGCTGCGCTACCGGGCACCCGAGGACCCTGCCTGGAGCCTGGTGAGTGCGGCTGGGGCGGTGGGACCGGGCAGGAGCCGGGACCCTCCCTGCGCTCCCAGCAGTGGGAGCAGCAGGGTGCTCGTGTGGGAGGAGGACAACAAGGTGTCCCTTCACACCCACACCAGGGCCAGCTCCTGCTTGAGGCAGGAGCCAGCACAGCCCTCACTCTGGCTGCCACCAGGTCACTGGCATCGTGGGCCGGGCTGGCACCGCGCAGCGCTGCGGCTTCCTCTTCGGCACACGGTACCACTTCCAGCTGCGCTGCCGGCGCAGCTCAGCACTGGCCTTCTGGAGCGAGTGGAGCCCGGGCAGGAACTACACCACCCACGAGAAAGGTTGGTGCAGTCACCCAGGGGTCCCCTCTGCCCGGGCAGGCAGCACAGCGCTGGGGCACGGCCGCGCTGGCCCCTCTCAGCTCCTCCTTTTGCAGCCCCCTCAGGGAAGCTGGATGCGTGGTGGGGGGCTCGGCCGGCCGGGGCAGGGGGGCAGCTGGAGGTGCAGCTGCGCTGGAAGGTGAGCGGGGGCAGGCGGGCACTCGGGGGCTGCAGGGGCATCACCCCGGGGACCAACATCCCCGCGGGGACCAACATCCCCCTGTGCCCAGGCCCCACGGCGGCACGAGGCCAATGGGCAAGTGCTGGGCTACCGTGTCACCCTGAGCCCCAGGAGGAGGGGCAGGAACCCCCCCACCGTCTGCAACACCACCCACACCGAGTGCAACTTCTCGGCGCCCACGGGGACCAGGAGGGTCTACCTCTCAGCCTACAACGCCGCTGGAGAGTCGGCAGCAACCGAGGTTGTCCTCCTGGAGAGGAAAGGTGAGGGCAGTGCCTGAAGCCTCTGTGTGCCCCCCGGGGGGCTCTGCTCCCCCAGGCAGGCTGCCATGGGGTGCACAACCAGGGCGAGGAGCAGGGCTGACTCTGGGAGGTGATGCAGGATGCTCCCGTCTCCCATCATCCCGGTTGCTTGTCCCATGCAGGTGAGCCCCTGGCCGGGCTCTGGGCCGAGCCCGGGGACATCAGCAGCCTCAGGGTGCACTGGGAGGCACCGCCGGCCCCGGTGGCCGCCTATGTCCTGGAGTGGCAGCGGGTGACATCTGAGCCCGGACACTGCAGCGCCTGCTGGCAGATGGAGCGTGACGGGGCGGCCACCGCAGCCCTCATCCAGTGTAAGTGGGGGTCCCTGCCCTGCCGGGTGGTCCCTGCCCCCCTGGTTGGCTGTCCCGGGGGGCTGACACCCATCCTGACCAAACCCTGCCCCGAGCCCTCTCCCCACCCTCCCTCCTTCCCCTGGCTCCACTCCCAGGGCAGGGTGGGCTGGCTCTGTGGGGCGGGGGCGGCACAGCCGGGGGGTCTCGGCACAGTGCCCCGAGCGCCCGCCCCCCTGCCCTGCATTGCAGATGGCATCGAGCCTTTCCAGCGGTACAACATCTCCCTGTACCCCCTCTACAAGGACACCGTTGGGATGCCCATCCACACCGCAGCCTACTCCCAGCAGAGGGGTACGTGTGCCCCCCGGGGCTGCCCTGGGCCCCCCTGAGCCCCTGCCCTCCTGAAAGGAGGCACAAGTGCTCCCCCACACAGCCCCAATCCAGGGGCCGTGCCCAAGAGCTCAGCCTGCGGGGCTGGGTTTGGCTCATCTCTGGAGGTGTTCTCAGCTAACCCACAGTGTGGGCAGGGCCTGATGCCCACACCTCGGGAGTGGGAACCCCCCACACCAGTTCCCACCCAAGGCAGTGGCTCTGCTCAGTGCCCGGTGCCTTGTCCTGCTCCTCCCAGCACCGTCCTATGCCCCAAAGCTCCACCTGAGGAGCATCAGCAAGTCAGAAGCCGAGCTGTGCTGGGAGCCGCTGCCAGTGGAGGTGCAAAACGGCTTCATCACCAACTACACCATCTTCTGGGCCAACAGCATGGCTGACATGGCCAGTGAGTCCTGACCGTGCCCTCTGTCCCGCCTCGACGTGCTGGGTGTGGGCATCAGCAGACCCTGTGCCCTCCTCAGACCCTGTGCCCTCCTCAGAGGGGTCGGGTCCTGCCAGCAGAGACCCAAGGGGCTGTGCAGGGGAGGGGATTCCACCACAGCTCTGTGTGTCCCCAGGTGCCACCGTGAATCCCTCTCTCAGCTCCTTTGTCATCCGGGGGCTGAGGCCCTCGACCCTGTACAAGGTGCACATCATGGCATCCACGGCTGCCGGCGGCACCAACGGCACCAGCCTGACCCTGGTGACCACAGTGCTTGGTGAGGGGGCAGCCACGGGGGGAGGGCACCCCCAGACCCCGGGTCCTGCCCCGGCCTCGTGGCCCAGTGCAGCTGACGGTGCCCACCGCAGTTCCCTGTGACCCTGTCCCACTTCCCAGATGACACTGAGATCCAGTTCCTGTTCCTGACCCTGGGGCTGGCCTTTCTCCTGCTCATACTGTTGCTCATCTGCTTCCAGAAGAACGAGAGGTGAGTACCAGGAGCCCTGTCTCGGGCTGGGCTGCCCCAGGAGCCCCTGGACAGGGTGGTCCCGGGAGTGGTGACATCCTGCCATGAGCTTGGCAGGAGCCAGCCCAGCCCCGAGCCCGCCCGTTCCAGCCCCCCTGGCTGAGCACCCTCGTCCCCTGGTCCCCAGAGTGAAGGAGCAGCTCTGGCCCAGCGTCCCTGACCCTGCCAACAGCAGCCTGGGCAAGTGGGTGCCGGCAGTGCTGCCACAGGTGAGACCGGGATGGCCGCTCCCCCAGCCCTGCTCCCCGCCAGGGCCGCGGTGAGGGGCACTGGGGGCAGGTGGCACCAGGGGCAGGTGGCACCGGCTGTGACCTCCCGCTGTCCCCAGGAGCCGCTCCTGGTCCCCGCCGCCAGGGAGCCCGGCCCGGCCGCCATCTCCACCGTCACCGTGCTGGAAGGGGCCCCGGGAAAGCCGCCGGGGAAGGAGCCCCCCGGGCCGCCCGCCGCCCCCTCGGCGCTGCCCCGGCCCTACGTGCGGCAGGACGGCCCCGGCGAGCCCGTGCAGTACGCGCGGGTGGGCGGCGCGGGGTACCGGGGGCAGCGGCTGCTCCCCGAGTCCGGACCCCGCTTCTACGAGAACCTGCGGGGCCGCGGGGACGGCGCCGGGGACTGGTGGGTCCCCGAGGAGACCCCCGCCAGCTTCCCGCTGCTGCAGGGGCTCCGCATCGGCGGGGCCGAGGAGCTGCACGAGTGCCGGGCGGACTAGCGCGGGATGGGCCGGGCAGCGGCACCGGGAATGCCACCGGGGACCGGGATGCGGGATCCACCGCCACCGGGGACCCGGCATGGGGGATCCACCGCTGCCCGGCTCCATCCCGCACTGTGTGTCCCCTCCTGTCACCCCTCCGCAATAAACAGGAACGTGCTGAGAACAACCCGGGCGCCTCTGCGGGATCGGGAACCGGATGGGGATGGGGATGAGGATGGGAACAGGGACGGGGACAGGGAAGAGACCGGGAACAGACAGGGGCGGGGACAGGGCCGGGACAAGGGCTGGACCGGGAGAGGGTCGGGACGAGGACCGGGGTGGGGACTGGCACTCCCATCGACGCGCTCGGCGCTCGCTCTCTCGCCCCGCCCCGTCTCGGCGCTCGCTCTCTCGCCCCGCCCCGTCTCGGCGCTCGCCCGCCGCGCCTGAGCAAGATGGCGGCGCCCATGGCGGCGTGTCGCTGAGCGCGGCCATGCTGGCGCTGCTGGGCCGCGGCGGGGCCGCCGCGCTGGGCAGGGCGCGGGCCGGTGAGGGGCGCGGGGGGCGCGGCAGGGACGGGGGGTGGAAGGGGAAGCGGGGCCCGGCGGGGGAATTGGGGAGCGGGCGGCGGATGGGCCGCGACGGGAGCTGAGGGTGCAGGGAAGGGGCGGTCCCGGGGCCGGAGGTGGCCCGGGGGCCACTCGGGGCCACACACCTGAGAGGGGACAGAGCCGGGTGACCTTGAGGGGCCCCGGGGCGCGGACAGGACCCCGGCGGCCTGAGCCCCCCGGGCCCCTCGGCTCCTGTGAGGCGGGTCAGGGACTGCCGGGTCTGTGCCTGCAAACGGTGGAGGAACAGGGCAATAACCCGATGCCCGGGGCCTGGAACAGCAGCGGGAAGAGTTTGTTCCTGAAAGGTCAAAGGACTCGGTTCAGGCGGATGCTGAGTGCTCACACCGGGGTCACACACAGGTTGTCCCCAGGGGTGGCTGCCCCGAGCTCTGGCACTGGGGGGCCCAGAGCAGCCCCTCCACCTCGCTCATGGCATCACTGGAGTTAATTCCTCACTTTAAACTCTGTCAGTGACCACATTTGTGCAGGGCAGCCCTCCCGCTCTGCAGCCTGTGCTGCTGCTCCGTGCCCAGCCGTGGATGGGCACAGCTCTGTGAGAGCCCCGCTGAGCTGTCCCGACTGCCCTGGCACTAAAGCCCCGGTCACTGCTCAGAGAAAGCCTCAGTTCTCTGCCCCTGCACAGGCTGAGCAGTGTGTGACATGCACACGAGTCTGGTAACTCTTTGTTTCTCCCCCCAGCCTGCAGCCCTGCTCTCCAGGCAGCCAGAGGTTATGCCAGACCTGTGACAAGGAGGAGGAAAGGTAGGTCAGGACCCACAGGACCACGGGGCCAAGTGCTGTGCTGTTGACGTGCTCAGAGTTGTACCCCCATGGCACAGAAATCATTTCAGAAATAATTCCTTGCTCAGAAGTCACCCAGAAGATTCAGCAGCTCCTGAATGTGGGAAAATCAGTGATTGTCAGTAGTGGGAGCTCTGTGAGGGTGGGGAGGCCCTGGCACGGGTTGCCCAGAGAAGCTGTGGCTGCCCCATCCTGGAAGTGTCCAAGGCCAGGTTGGATGGGGTTTGGAGCAAACTGGGACAGTGGAAGGTGTCCCTGCCCAGGGCAGGGGGTGGCACTGGATGATCTCTTAAGGTCCCTTCCAACCCAAACCATGCTGTGATCTCTGAGCTCAGTGGACTCTGTAAATCCACGTACAGCACGTTGTAAGTCCAGAGTGCTGAAGGGAAGAGGCTGAACCTGTTTTATTCACTCAGTTGCTGCCAGCTTGGCTGGATCTGTTCAGTTCTCCTGTCTTGTTTGGAGCACAGTTTCCTCTGCAGCATTTTTCCTCTGGTCCAGTTTGCCAGCTCAGAGCTCTGGCTCTGTCCTGCTCTTCCTCAAACGTTTGCCTCCTCTTTGTAGACATCCCCAGCCAGCTGGATGACCTCCCTCCCACCATGCTGAAGAAGGATTATGCCAATCTCCCAGTAATGAACAGGTATGACACAGGGAGAGGGAATGGCTGTTCTCTCCAGAGCTTTGTGTCTTACACAGAACCACATGTGGATGCAGTCACCTGCTCAGTAATTAACTAATTAATGCTCTGTGGGCACAAAAATCGCAAAGTCAGTTTGAAAGTCAAATTACAGACACAGTCAGTGGTTAGGGCTGTGGGAGGTCTTTGTTTACTCCCTGTGAGAGTAGTACTCTACTCCATTGTAGAGTAAATTAAAGTTGAGGAAAGTGAGTATGTTCTGAAAACCTGAGCTCATTTCTTTTGTTAAATAGACTTGATTGTAGCTTATAAACTGATCTGCTGTCTCCTTGCAGCGTGGATGATGTAGTGAGAAGGCTGTTGTCCCTGGAAATGGCAAGTCAGGTCAGTGTCATTCTGCTCGGGGGAAAAAAATAGATTTAGTGAGCACGTTTGTGTGAGACCTGTCTGTGTTGGTAAATACCTTTCAGTTACTGTATTTTTAAGTGACTGCAAATCTGGGGTGATTAAATACGTGAGATTGATAATTCTTGATAATTCTTGTGCGCTTCTAGAATTTACCCCACAGTCTTCTTTAGGATAATAATTGCACATTAAAATGAGAGAAGAAAGTATTCAGCAGTCCTGGGGTGATGAGCTGTGTTCTGTTGCTGCCTGTGGTTGGCCTCCTGTGTTCTAGAAACCAGTGCACTGGTCAGCAGATGTTCTTCGAGCTATTTTTACTTCTGTATGCCCAGAAAACAAACAGATAATAAAGTGGCACAGAGATCTCGCCGCTCCTTGCTGGTTGTCACTTTAGCTTAAAAGGATGTAAAACCACTGAGTAAAGCTCTTAAATGCAAAGCCTTTACCTGTGTGTTTGTGGAGGGAGCTGGTGTCTCTGACCTTTAGTGTTCCTGAGAGAGTGACAAGCTTTCCTGTGACCCACAGAAGGAGAAGATGAAAATCAAGACGCAGCAGCTGGTGGAGAAGGTCAGGAGGTCTCCCAGCGACAACGGCTCCTTTGAGGTGCAAGGCAAGTTTAACAGGGAAGGATATTGTTGGCAGATGAAACATCTCTGCCTTTATTCAGCTGTTGCCACCCCAGCACTTCCAGTTGGCTGTATAATTTAGGAGAATCTCCTCCAGGAGAGCACTCAAGAGGCAGGATGCCCTGGGGGGCTGCTCCGGGTGTGGGAGCATTGCAGAGGCAGTGGATGCTCACTGGCAGAGGCTGCTGGGGTGCTTCCAAATTCCCGCTCCACATCCACCCTCCAAAGGCAGTGTGTGCATTATTCTGCTTGGAGTGCCCCTGTGACATGAAGCATTGAGCTGCATCTGTTACCAGAATGAACCAGATTTAGCCACGGAACTCAAATTTCCCTTTGCGTTGGAGAGCTGTGGCTGAAGCACAGTGTGGGGACAGTGTGGGGACAGTGCAGGGACAAAGGCCACACTGCACTGACCAAGATGCACTTCCTCATCATCAGTAAAGCCCTTCAGTTCCTCAGAGTGCCACCAGCAGCTCCCTCCAGAGCCCGAAATCCCAAAGAGCTGGCCTGGTGCTTTTGTTAAAAAAACACCTTTATTGCTTTCTGTTCCTCCAGAGCTTGAGCCACATGAGGTGAAATGAATGTAAAATCACTGGGAACTGAGTGCAAGAGGAATTTCACAGATAAAATTTTTATGATCTGTTGTTAAAATTTTCCCTTCTAACTGAGCAGCCTCTTAACAGTTACAGCTCTGCAGGTTGTGTGCTGTGGTGTGGTGGGCAGTGTCTGCTGTGGTGCTGTGGGTCCCCCAGGAGCAGCAGTGCTCAGCTGGCAGCTTCAGGGAAGGCAGAGGATCCTGCATCACCTGGGAAGGCTGCTGCTCTCACACAGCTCACTCTGTTCTTCACAGTTGCAGTTCTGACTGCCAGGATCCGCATGTTCCAGGAGCACCTCCAGAGGCACCCCAAGGTAACTCGGGGATCTGAGCCCACACCCAGCAGCTGCTCGGGTGGTTTTCTTGGTTTAGAACAAAAGGACTTTAATTTCGGGGATTGTGGCTTTCCTAAGGAGGTTTATGAAATAGTTCCAGCTGTTCCCTGGTGCCAGTGTGGGGAGCTGCTGGCTCAGGCACAGCCGGATTCTCACCCACTCGGCGTGGAGGGTGTTCAGGTTTGTTACTGCTGGAGGAAATGGCTGAGCAGAGTCCTTTGGGCAGAGTTGAGCTCCACTTCTCCCTGCAGATGTGGCTGCACTGCTTAGTTTTCACTAATTAATGTGTCACTGCAGCAGCTGCAGTGAAAGACAAAGCAAAGTCTCTCCTGGTGCTGCTCATGGAAACGTTTGGTGGGCAGGGCTGTGTGAATGTCCCAACAGCCACTTCCCTGCCTGCAGCTACCTGGGTTCGGGCCCTAATCTGAAACATCACAACTGAGTTTATCAATAAAAGTTACTAAAGGTTCTTTATGCAGGGCAAAAGGTGGGAAGTGGATTAACAAGTGTGTAATTGTTTGTTAATCGTGAAAACTGGAAGGGTAAAACAGAACAGAATTCAGATTTTATTACAAGCCAGAAGCTGTACCAAGTGTTCCAGCAAAGAGACCTTTTAGACTTCCTCTGCTGGAGCCTGTGCTTTACACAAATCACTCCTATAGGACAGGGAAATGTCTCCCATGAGGGATTGCCATGAGTGGTGGGGCTCAGCTGCACATTCCCTTCCAGAGAACAACCAGACAGTCAGACAGAGCCAAGTCATGGGTTATTTTCCCATTTGATTTCTGGCCAAACGAAGGTAAATGCCTCTGTTGTTCTGGAGCAGTACACTTCAGGGGCAGCAGGTTTTAGCCAGCAGACCTTCCCTGCAGCTTTTGCCACCACCTGAAACTGCACATAAGCTGAAAACAGAGTTCAGGGTCGGAGAGGAAGGGGAAGGTGCAGCCACAGAACGGAGAAAGCAATTCCAGTGCAAAGTAAATGAAATCTTCCTGGATCTCCCTGTGCTGACCCGACACGCTCGCAGCACCCCAGACAAGCTGTTCTGAGGCCCTGTCCTTTACCTGGTCGTTCCCTTTCAGCCCCATCCCAGTGTGCTCTCAGTGATTTCTGGGGTGGCAGGGCAGTGTCCCTGCAGGCCAGTGAGCCCCGGGTGCTTTGCAGGACAAGAACAACAAGCGTCGGATGCTGATGGACGTGGACAAGCGGAAGAAGCTGCTGGGGTACCTGCGGCGGGTGCGCTACGACACCTTCGAGAACACCTGCAAGCAGCTGGACATCCAGTACAGCCTCCCCCCGCCCTACACACGGCGCGTCACCAAGCGCTGGCTGGTGAAGAAGGCCTTCTGCATCAAGGTATGGAGCAGGGGAGCTGGGCTGGGGAAACACCGCTGCAGAGGAGGGCACAGTTAGGACAGAAGGGGCTGATCTGATTGCCGAGTCCTAATCCAGGCTTTGGGTTTGATAATGACTGTAGGGAACTGCCTAAGCTCGGCCAAGAGCTCCACGAGGGACGGTTGTGTCATGGGCAGTGACACATGTGCTGTGTTCAGGCGCTTCAGGTTGTGCTACTTGTTTGCTCAAAAGTGTATTTTTCAAACCAGCTGTTTTTTCCTCAAAGCCTGGTATGGGAATCGGTACATGAGATAATTTTATGGCAGTTTGGAATCGGAATGTGGGTGCACCCATTGTCTGCTCTGAATACATGGGTGTAACTACTGCGTGCAGCAGATCTTGGTATAACTGAGCAGAACCAAAAGCTGGCTGTGCCTCGGGTCTGTAAATGCTCAAGTGGAATCAATGACACTGGATCCAAAGGACTGGAGCCAGCTGGATGTGGCACTCAGTGCTCTGGTCTGGTTCACAAGGTGGGGATTGGTCACAGGTTGGACTCGGTGATCTCAGAGGTCTTTTCCTACCTCTGTAACTCTCTGTTAGTGGAATAAGCCCGGATGATTCCCTGGAGCAGGGCTGGCCGGAGCCCTGAGGAGACGCAGAGGGAGGAGATGATCTGGCCTGTGGTGGAGCAGCTCTGCCCACAGCAGCCTGCACAGGGAGCAGCTCTGCAGGCAGCTCCACCAACCCCTGTCTCACCTTTTGTTCCTACAGGTGTACCAGGAGGCACAGAAGCTGAAAGCAGCGGAGAGGCTGAAGCAGAGAGAGCGGCAGGCGAGAGCAAGGGCGGCCCGGGGGCAGCAGGGGCAGGAGAAGCTGGCACAGGAGAAGCAAACGCAGGAGGGGCAGAAGTTGGCACAGGAGAAGCCAGCACAGGAGGGAACTCCCGTGTAGCATCACAGCCAGCCTGACAATAAACACGTGCCCAAAGACCGGAAGCCTCTGTGCTCATGTGGTGTCCACGCCGAGCTGAGCGCCTGGGGAGGGCAGCGAGTGCTTCCAGTGGTTTGGACGTTTAATTTCAGGCTGGTGCGGTGTCCTGGAAGGGGAGGGTGGGGAGGCCCTGGCAGGGGTTGCCCAGAGGAGCTGTGGCTGCCCCACGCCTGAAAGCGTGTCCCAGGCCAGGCTGGAGCCCCCCGGGCTGTGGGAGGTGTCCGTGTCCGTGCCCGTGCCGGGGGTGGCACTGGGGGGGTTCCGTGTCCGTGTCCGTGTCCGTGTCCGTGCCCGTGCCCGTGCCGGGGGTGGCACTGGGAAGGTTCCGTGTCCCCTCAGGCCGGGATGTCCCCCCGGCCCCGCCCGGCGCGCACGCGCGTCCCGCGCGCCAAGACGGGCCCGCGCCATTGGGCGGCGGTTGCCGGGCAGCGGGGCCGGGGCTGCAGCGGGGCCGGGGCCGGGAGCGGGGCCGGGAGCGGGGCCGGGAGCGGGGCCGGGAGCGGGGCCGGGAGCGGGGCCGGGGCGGCACCGGGGCCATGTCGGCGCGGACGCTGCCGCTGCTGTTCCTCAACCTGGGCGGAGAGATGCTCTACATCCTGGACCAGCGGCTGCGCGCCCAGAGCATCCCGGGGGAGAAGGCGCGCAAAGGTGAGCGCGGGGCGGGGGCCGCTCCCCCCGGGGCCGCTCCGGTGCCCCCGGGCAGGGCTCTGCCCCCGCTGCCGGTCCCGGGATGCGCCCCGGGACCCACGGACACGCTGTGCCGTCGGTGCCGCTCCGGGGCAGGGGCCCCATCGCGGTAATTAATTGGCACGGTGATTACCGCGGTAATGAACCCTCCGTGCTGTCCCGCAGCCGAGGGGCTCCGGGAAGTTTCTGCGGGGACAGCCCGGAGGTGCCGCCGGGGCTGCTTTGGGAGATTCTCGCAGACAAGGAGGGATTGGAGCCCCGTCGGTGTTTCTGGGCTTGGTTTGGGGGTTAAAGCTTCGGAAACGTGCTTTTGGGCTCAAAATAACTCAGGGTTTGGTGATGCCAGCCCAGGTCCGGAACTGTCTGGGGCAGATCAGGTCACTCTGCAGTGGGAAGGAGTTTCCAGGAATAAATTTCTAATGCCTGTGCAGAAGCAGGATATGAAATTTTCTTGAATTCAAATAACACAAGCCCGGCTCCTGAAACCCTTGTCTGGTTTTTATACGATCTCTCAAGCAGCATTTGGCCGAAATCCTTGTGCAGTCCTGTGCCTTCATATGTGGCACCAAACTCCAGCTCACAGCCCAGCACCTCTTTGTTTTCCACTTTAAATTACTACAGCTTTGCTTTACAAGTCCTTGCAGCTCCCTGTCGTGGGATGGGGAATGTGCCTGGGGAAGCTTTGGGATGCTTTAATAAAAAATCAACTGGGTTTGAGCCCGGTATTGAAGAGGTTGTTATGTTTATCCCTTCTGCCTGTCCTGTATGAAGTGCCAAAGAGTTCACTGTTTAATTATCATATTATTGTGAGGGGGCAATTTGTAATTATTTATTTATGGTGTGTCCTGAGAGAATGATCTGACAAAAGTTTACTGCTGTTCATACAGGGCTGAGTTTGGAGTTCAAACTAAATTACATCTTGGTGGAGTATCTCAGCAGGAGAACTGGATCTCTTCTAGTTTATCCACACGTGGATATTTATCTTCCAAAAAACTGGGTGTTAATTTCACTGAGATGTGGTTCATCCACACCGAAGTGTTTGTTAATGCTTAAAGCTGTTCACTCAAATATTGTTCACTTAAAAATGCAACTGAAAACTTCCCAAGCTCTGTGCAAAGGGTAAAATTTGATGTGCTTTGAAGCAGCAGGATTTTATCCAAGGGGAGGGCAGGATTCTCCAGTGCCACATGCTGATGAGAAGAGACAAAAATCCATTAGTTAGCTTTCCTTTTTCTTTTTTTTTTCTCTTTTATTTTTTTTTTTTAGTTTATTTCTTTTCTTCTCCTTGCAACTCTTGTTCTCACGTCTCGAATGCTGTTTTGTTTTATATGCTTCGTGTAGATGAATGGACAGATGTGGACAGGAAACGAGGTACAGTAACTGCTGGCTGCATGCACCAGTCCAACCCCACGGGCTCACCTGGGGCTCGTCTTGCCTGCCCCCGGGGCTGCTCCTGCAGCCTTCAGGCAGGGTCACAGATCCACAGGAATGCTCACCTGGGCCTCAGAATGCACCTTGAGAGAAAACAGGCAACGTCTCAAAATCACACGGCCTCAAAAACCAGTTGTTGATTTAACAGAGACTGTAAATGGATCAAAACTTATTATCTGAATGGTCTTTCCTGTCAAAATAGTCTGTGTTTCCCTGGCATTGTTTGGATGCAAGCATGCAATGTGTGAGCAGTGTGGGGGTTGTTTGTCTGCTGAAATGCAGGAATGTTGGGCAAGCTCCATTTTTCCAAGGCCTTGTCTAACTCACCGCTCAGGGTTTGGACAGGTGAACTCCAGGGAAGGTTGAAGGCATTCCCATCTTTCTCCTTCCCAGCCCGTCCTGGTGCTCCCAAAGGGTGATCCCAGAGGAGCAGGTGCCCCTCAGCTGAGCTCCTCCTGCCTGGGATGAGCCTGAGGGTGTTGCAGGGGAGCAGCTGAGGTGTGAACACGTTTCCCTCTGGAATCTGCCTGGAACAGGAGCCTCCAGCAAGGGCTGTGCTGAAGAGCTGGGTGAGGAAATGAACCTCTTGAATCTCAGGTGTTTGCTAAGTGAGCATGAGCAGAACTCCCAGGGGCCTTCTGAGCAGCCCTTTCTTACCAGAGATCAGGGTTATGGTTCATGTTTTTCAAAATAAGCACCTGTGGCAGGGTTTAATGTTTACTGCAGGTAAACACTGATATCCTGGGGTTTGCCCCAGCTTATTTTTGCTACCATCGCATCCTGTTTCCAAGATCACCCCCTTTCCAGCCTTTAATATCTCAGAAGTCTCATGACATGCTCCATATTATCTCATCCAAAGCAACGAGGGGTTGGCTGTACTGGTTTCTCTCCTCCCACCCCAGTGGATGCCCCCCCTCTCTGCTCAGTTGCTTTTTGCTGTGTTGCTTGTGCCACGTCCTGGGCCAGCCCTCCAGTGTCCCCTGCCGTGGCCACACCGGTGTGTGCAGCTCCCCAGGGCCTCTCTGGGACCTTTGCTGCGTCATTAGTGACCATGTGACAGATTTATTATCAAACTGTGTGAGATTTGCCCTTTACCGTGATTTTTTTAATGTCTTTCTCGGTTCTTTTTATAGCCCACACAAGGGGTTTTAATTCTAGAAGATAATTTATGTCAGACTGGGTGTGTGGTTCACACAGAGCTTCAGTTCCGTTGATAAATCACCAGACTGGGAGGTGTCTGTCTCCTGGTGGTGTTTTGGGTTATTTGTGACTCTGCAAAGACAGGAGAAGCCTTTGTGTGGGCAGCACACACAAGCAGCTTAAAAATACTTTCCTTGATAGCTGTATAAGGCTAAAGTTCTAATTTGTTTTCGTAATTGATTCCTTTCAAAATGAAATAGATACTAATAATATTTGATTTTCTCCCTGAAATAGCAAGGGTTTCTGCCTCAGATTGCAAGTAGGGATTGTTTTATGGACAGTTTACTAGAAAGGAAGGGAGGAAGAAGGGATTTTTTTCCTCTTTGTGCTCAGGTGTATTTATTATCCACTGCTCAGGTATTTTGGGTACTTAAGCCCAGACTAGTGAGCCCTGTCAGCTGCTGGGCTGTGTGTGACCAGTGCAGGAGGAGCCTGTGACCAGCAGGTTTAGGGAGGGCAGAGAATCACCTCTGGAGGCCCCTGCCCTCACAACTGCCCCTGCCCAGGCTCCCAGCATTCCCAGCAATGTTCCCAGGGACTTAATCCTGTTGGAAGAGGTGGAGTGACAGGGACATGACCTTTCTTGTGGCTGTTGGTGTAGGGCAGGTGTGAAAAGCCATGTGTCTGACCCCCCAGGGAATCATTAGGGCAGCAGTTCAAAGCACTGATCACCACCACTGTCTCTGTGTTCACTTTTTTTCTTTTTCCTTTTCTTTTTATTACTTGTTCTGAGATTTTTCTAATCCCCAAGGGTTGTCTGGCATTGTGGGCTTCAGTAACAGTCACCTGCTTAGGAAAATCCATGCTTGTCCAGTAATCTGTGTGGCTTGGCATTTTCATTTACCATTCTTTTGGCAGAGAAACAAATGTTTATTGGTGATAACTCTGCAGAGTCTGTCAGGGAGATAATAAAATGTCCAATCCAGCACAGAAGCTCAGATGCTGCATCTGCTTGAACCAGTGCAAAATGTTTTCCATTTTCTGTGCATTAAAAGCTCGATATCCAGAGCACAGCCCTCACACTCAGCACTCCTGAGCTCTACAAACTCTTCAGTGAGTCACAAAACAGTTCCAGGTCCAAATTTACACATAAAACATGAACCACACATAAGGAGGTTTGGAGTTCTGCCTTTGAGCCACTCAGTGCCTGCAGGTGTTGCAGCTGTGAGAGCCCTGAATGGGCTGACATAGATCCCAGGGATATAAATGCTTCCTTAAATACCTGCCAGTTTTAATCTGTTTGGAATAAAGACTACAGAGAGCCCTGAGTCATCCAGGAGCTTCTGTTGAGAGAGAAAAGATAGACTGGCAGTGTCAGAGGGGAACAGGCACAGCTGCAGTCTGCAGAGCTCAAGAGTGATCCAGAATAGTTTCCTTAGGAGGCGGAACCGGAGCTTTTCTAGATAATAACGTGTCAGAGCAGCCTATAAACAACATTATTTACAAGTGAAAAGTACCAACCACAGCTGTAAAACCAGGGCAGCAAAGCCAGCCTTGTTCCCACTGGGAACCAGGGAGTGCTGCCTTCAGCCCAGGTGGTTTGTGCCCCGGGGAATGTCAGCGGGCTCAGCCCAGGCAGGGCCCAGGGAGTGTGGGATTGGGAGGTGCTGTCCCCTCTCCTGTGCCCTGTCCCTGCTCTCCCAGCTGAGCTCCCGTGGGAGCCCCCGGTGTCCGTGTGGGATGGACC